AATGGGAGGGTGTACTGTCTTTTCTTCGTAAATTATTTGGTTAAGCTATTCCACAAGTTGCCCTCCATCGGCTTGTCCCCTTCGAGTACCTGCCTTTTCTGCAAATTGGCCTATGACGGGTTGATATTTTTGACAAGTTCGCCTTTGACAAGGTGGCCTTCGACGAGGTGGCTTCGACGAGGTGACCTTCGACGAAGTGGCCGTCGACGAAATGATTTTCTGCGAGTCGGCTGGATTCTGTCATTATGGTCCCGTGCGAGGTTTCTTGCGCCTGTATTTGTCTTTTTTTTTTGTGTCTGGCGACTGTTGTGCGTAAACATGTCCTTCGCAGAAACAATAGCTCAAGGATGATGCTGGGATTTCCAGCACAGTATTTTAACGGTGTACACGATCGCTCCTAAAAGGGGGTGCTCTCCTAGCCTTACGTTGTTTTCCCTAGTACAAGTCAAATTCCAGATTTATACAATGTAAATAAATAGTGTGCAGTGATGCGCCTACACCCTGTTCACAAAAAAAGTCTGCTTTTGTCCGCACCGGCTAAAAGTCAGTAGCCCATGGCGGCCCCACGAGGACCACCGTCACGAAGACCACTGCAAGCCTAACACTTGTCACCTGCAACCGCAACATCAACCCCTCGCCTTCGTACACAAGCTCAATTTAAACCATCGTCACCATTCTTTTTTAATTCATCTGTTTAGCACTGTCGCATCATCGGCAGACGGGGCGCAGCGGGCCTTCACAATATATGGGCGACTAGTTGTTCTAGGTAGTCGCGGCTCTCCTGAGCCAAAATAAATCAAGTGCTATCACCATCACTATCGCCCGGTATGCGCGTTGCGCCGGTACAGAAACCAGATTCGCGTGACAAAAAGTGCCTGAGCACGCGGGGTGCCAACAACAGCGCCCCCGTACTGGCGTCACGTCAGTGTTCACTGAGCGTATAGAAAAGAGGTAGAGGGCCTTAGAGCAATAAACTGTCAGCAAAACGTGACCCGAATTGGCTCCCGTCATGTTGCATATTTTTTACTGCTAGACACGTGACCTTATCGTTTCACGCCTATAGTTTAACGACGTATCACGCACAAATTCTTTCCTAACGATATTTAATAACAGTACCGACGAGTTAAGTTGTGTTACGTTTGTCTGAAGTCGAAAATGTGCTTTTACGAGAAAAACTCGAGCAGCTTCGCTATGCCTCCACTAGATCCCGCCAGCCGCGGTGCTGTATTGTGGGATTTTATGGGAGTTAGGCACTGATCTCTGGGGCTCTCAGTATTTAAAAAATACTTCATTATGTTTTTTACAGCGTTCGCACTACAAATCTCGGCTGAGTTAAGCGTAAAAGCCTCAGGATTGGCACGATCACCTGTCCAGTGATCAAAATTGTATAACATGGCGGCAGCCAAGTAGGGGTCACCTTTGCCTGGTGAACGGGAAACCGGTTTATAGCTCTAAACCCCTCTACCTCGTTGGTGTATAGACACTGAGTTTTAGATAGCTTCAAAAGGTTTAAAGAATGGTGACCGTTTGGTGAACGCATAAGGCGGGTATGGACGACTATTGGCGCACCAGTGTCACCGACAGCTGTAATTTATTTTGGACCCTAAAAAGCGCCCCTCTTACACTACGGAAAAACTCCCAGATCGGAAAAGTCAAATGACCGTTCCTGTGCTTACCTAAGTTGCGCATGAGCCACGGAAGTGTTGTCGTGTTAATCGCCTGAAGTAGAAACACCAAACCCAGACGCACGGCTTCTTCCTGCGCAAATGGTGCGGGACAAGGTCGACGTTGGCATGATAATTTCCCGTACTATAATCCTGAAGCGGGTCTCGGACTGGTGTGCTTACTGCGTCCTAAGAAAGTTGTCTCTCGACTACCGACCAATAGCGTTCAAGAAGAGTCTAGCTGTCACTGGCCGTGATCCTGGCGGTGTCAGAAAATCGATGGTGAATGTAGCAAACGTCTGTTTTGTAGAAGGTCGTTTTCCAGCTTAAAAGGTAATGGAAATTTAAGGAGCCAGGATTATGCGATAAAAGCAATACTCCCGTTCGATCGCTTCTTGTTGTTTTTGTTGTTGTTGTTTTCTTTTGGGGGGGGGGGGGGGGGGAGGTGGAGGGTGATTTTATGTATTAATTGCCAGCATTGCAACATCCACAACTTAACACGACGACTTCATTTCCGGGAGCATGACCTGCTAACGATTGTCACCGAGAGTTAAACAGTGTTCCTCCCGCCATACAGTTTTCCTGTGAAGCACAAGAGCAGGGAAAGTTGCCCTTCCTAGATGTATGTGTGATAAAGACAGACGAACCGAACCACAGGATTGGAACGGGTGCGTACCGCAAACCATATAAAACAGATTTTTTTTTTATTCTTTGTCCCATTACCCATTGCAACACAAGAAATCAGTAGTGCGATCGTTTGAACGCAGATGAAATACCGCGCCCTCTAACGAGCTCCATGGCGCAAATGGGATGACTCATTTACAGGAAGTTTTAAACAAACGTCACTACCCAAAGCGTTTTGTTGACAAGGTCAGCAACCAAATAAATCAAAATGTACAACCGTGCGAAAGGGAAAGATATAAGAATGTAGTTTGCATCGCATATGTCAAAGGAGTCTCCGAACCTTTCATTCGCGCTTTGAGGCCCCTTGGCCTTCGAACTGTTTACAAGCCAAACAGAACTATAGGAAATTTCGTTTCCAAACCAAAGGACCCAAAATCTGCGAACGTCGGGAGAGGCGTCATCTACAAGATCCCGTGCAACGACTGCCGAGCGTCCTACATTGTTAAACCCGGACGGAGGAGAGAGACCAGACTCAAAGAACAGAAGCGTGACGTCACGTACGCATCCCTCGCGACGCGACTGAAGACTGAACTTGTGGACCATGCATGGACATTGCGGCATTCTTTCGACTTTGCGGCAGCGACGACCTTGGCGAGGGAAACTCCTAGAATCGTGGTTTGTCCGCAGGGACACATTAATGTGTAACAGAAACCGCGGCCCTCCCCACGAAGCTTATACGGACACTCCTGATAAATAGCGTCGACTTGAGCTTGAACCTCGCATTTGGTTCGTAACTACTGAAGATGCCTCCCGCATGGAAGGCGAGATGTGCAATGAAACTTTTTTTTTTCTTGTTGTGTCAAGCCACTGCTCTTGTTTTAATTATGCCAGATACGCCAACTGATATGTACCACACAAGATCATATGTGATTTAAATGATAACTTATATGGCATTTATATTAAACTGTGGTATGTCATATGCTGCCTGTGACGAGCCGCAAAAGACGACTCGCGCGGCTCGTGCGAGCTCGGGTGCCGCGCGTGCGAGCGCGAGAGAAGGAGATCAAAATAATAAAGAAAAAAAAGTTCTGCATGGATTTTCGGCGGTTGACGTGTCTTTCCTGAGCTCGAAGCCCTTTTCTCTTGACGACCAGAACGAGTCGTCATATATAGCGCCCGAACTGGGACCCGGTCTTCAGAAAATTCACGCTAACAACCTATGTGGGGTCGGCGCTCACTTAGACCAGGTCTCTACCAACCACTGTCCCCTGGACGGCCAAGGTTTCAAGGTAACTCCAAGATGGCGGAACATTCTATCGAAGCTTTTCGAAGGCTGGATGACGCCGCCAAAGACGCCGCATACCAATCAGTCGTCAGCGACACGGAGATCCTGGAAGCCGAGGTGGATCAGCTACGCCTACAACTAGCAGAGCTCAAGAACGCGACCTCTGCACGACCGATCGACCGGCTGGAGGACATATCGCGCCCTTGCGACGACGCAACAAACAGACAGCTACAGGCAACAGAGAATTTGACATGCGGACTGCTGGCGCCTGTCGTGGATCGTCTTGATCAGCTCGAGGCAAAGATGAGGAGAACTCCGTCGGCAGAATCGCTGTGCAGCGCAATCTCTATCGAAGACCTTTCCGAGAGCGAGTCCGCCAAGAAAAAGAGGCCCAAAGCGCCCAAGAAAAAAACTTCTGTTCAAACTGAGTCAGCCGCAGACACTGCCGTCGCATCAGATCGTCCGACAAAGTCGCTGACCAACGTGGCTGTCAGCTCGGTTCCTCAGCTAGGCAAGGACATCATCGCCTGGTTTCACCTGGCGGATTTCTGGTTCCAGACGTTTGAAGTCGCGCTAAGTGAGGCCATCCCATTGATTGTATCCAAGCTACCATCTAAGGACTTCATGTGGGTGAGGTACCACCTGAAGACAACCAAAGTAACGACGTGGGAACAAATTAAGACCGCTTTCCGTCGTCGTTACAACCTGGACAACGAAGTTGCAGCTAAACAGAAGATGTCCGGCGCAAGTCAGCGTTCGGGAGAGTCCTGCACAGACTTCGCCTTCCGCAAACTGGAGCTCATCGACGAGTATAACTACCCAGAGACGGAGGCGGAAAAATGCAGGGTTATCCTGGCAACACTGTCTGACAAAGCACGAAAGCACTACTTCGATAGACTCTTTGCTTCATTGAATGAGTTGCTAGTCTGATTCCTCCGCTTCGACCAGGTAGTTTTCAGCCAACCAAAGACACCGGCATTAACGGTAGCTGCAGAGCCAGCTTAGGCTCCGAAGGTAACAAAGAAAGCGTCCTCCTTCCCGCTCTTGAGGCAGGACCGGTCGCCGTCTCGTCAGAACGCGGACGACGGCCATTGTCAGCAGCCTCTTTCTTCACGTGAGAAGCAAGAGAAGCAGCACGTGTCGCCTCAGCACCCGTCGAAAGCTTCCCAGAATTTTCGGCGTTCTTCGTTTCGTCACCCGGAAGTTCGTCCGCTGTGCCTCAATTGTAAGAACAGCGGCCACTTCGTCACACGGTGTCGGCAGGAGCTCACACCAGAATTTTTGGGGTGGCAACAGCGCTTCGAGTCCACTGCAGCACCGACGCAGGGAAACGACTAGCTGATGCCTCTGACGCCTGCGAGAGGTCATCAGTAGTTCGGCGCATCCCATGTGGCGCAGCGGTGGGCACCAAAACAATTCAGGTTCAACTAAACGGACAGCCCCTGACAGCTTTCTTGGATTAAGGGGCAATGAGAAGTCTCATCAACGTTTCCATTGCCGACCAGTTGCACCTTCTGATTCAATCTTCTTCCATCCATCTCCATGGTGCAAGTGATCAATCCCTCACGAACCTCGGCGAAGCGACTGCCACAGTGACAGCTGACGGACAGACGCTGAACCAGGCAGTCGTCGTGGTCCCACATCTGGAGGAAGAAAAGTTGCTCCTTGGTGACGATTTCCTGACAGCGTGCAAGACCATGATCGATTGCGGTGCAAATAGCTTCTCGATTCCTCCGCCTACGACATGTCATCATAATGTCATCTTGGTTACGGAGCAGCTGATACCTCCGCGGTCACGAAAGCTTGTCCGAGGACAATCAAGGAAGATAGACGTGAGCGGCACGAAATTGCTCTACGACCGTCACTGCCTTCTAGTTGAACCCATGTTTATGGATAAGACCGAGAGCACGTTCTTCGTACTCCTGGCCAACCCCTCATCTCGACCAGTGGCTCTACCCTCTGATGCTACTGTCGGAGTCGCTAGGGGGGTCACAAGTGTCGAAGACAACGAGCTTAGCGACGACGAAATTGCTTCCATCTTAAGTGGCTCAAGCCTGCCTTCGTCAGAGGACCTGGATCGCTCAAATGCTTTGGAAATCGTCGGCCCTCAACATCAACCGCTATCGGTTGAGGGTGTCACGTTCAACATTGGTTTAATGCTGGCACCTGAAGAGCTTCAAAAAGTTCAAGAGCTTCTTGCGAAAAACATGGCTTGCTTCGTGCGAAGCAGCACTGACGTTGGAAACTGTCGGCTTGAGCACCACTCCATTCCGACAGGTAATGTGAGACCTATCTCCCAGAGACCACGTCGGCTGTCGCCGGCGCAGCGTGATGTCGTCAAGGCGATGATCAAGGATCTTATCAATCCCAAGATTGTGCAACCATCGCGCAGTCCGTGGGCATCCCCCTTGGTTTTAGTCACGAAAAAGGACGGATGAACACGAATGTGCGTCGACTACAGAAGGATCAAAGCGGTCACTGATGACACTGTCTACTCCTTTCCGCGAATTGAAGTGCCTCTACCCGATGACTGAACTTTTGGAATTTATAGTGTGTGCTATTGTCTCTAGCGTGCCTTCTCATTTAGCATTTTGTATGTACATATTCATTCACTCTCGTGCATATCTCAGAGCGCGGTATTTATTTAATGTTGTGTTGTTTTTGTCTCATGAAAGCGCACTGTCGGTATGGTGCCTGGATCGCGTCTTTGACTGGTGTGTTTACTGCGGCCAAAAAAGTGGTCCCTCGATTTCCGCCTGATGACGTCATAGAAGTGTCATGCTGTCGCCGGTCACGACCCTGGTGGCGTCCCACCAGCTGTGGTGTATGTAGCAGGTGCCTGTTCTGCTGCAGGTCGCTTTCCACTGTGAGAGTTCACGAAAGCTAGTGCAGCCGGAAGTTGAAACGCCTAACGGGACGCCGTGACGACAGCGACACTCGCGTTCGCTCGTGCTTTTCGCCAGCATTTCTACAGCCAACCGCCAGGATCGCGACAGGCAACAGCATGACACTCGCGTCATTTGTTGCCACATCGGGACCACTTTTGATGTATGGGCGGGATAGGACGCTAAACACACCAGTCGAAGACGCGCTCCAGGCACCATACTGTCGGGTCGACAGTTTCAAAAACCCCGGCATGTGACAGCCGCAATAGACGACTCGCGCGGCTCGTGCGAGCTCGTGCGAGCGCGAGAGAAGGATATCAAAAGATTAAAGAAAAAGTAGGTCTGCATGGAATCTCGGAGGTTGACGTGTCTTTCCTGAGCTCGAAGCCCTTTTCTCTTGACGACCAGAACGAATCGTCACACTGCCTAAATGAGAACTAACAAGGATGTCCACATTATGCAAATCATATCTCAATTCATATCTGTTTGTCATACTTCTGCTACTTTTCTGTCGTTTGCAATATATTTTTGATAATAAGCTTGCCTGCTAGTCCATCACTGTATTTTAATACATGATTTGAGTCATATGAGCTCTTATATATTTTCATATGAAATAACTTCTGATATAAAAATGTGTCCAATAATCATATCAGAAATAATTTCATATGTTTTTTTTTTTTTTCACTATACGAGTGCCGCGCGGCCCAGCAAGCACGTGGCTTGGAACCGCATTGGAGCGGCTTGATTTATTCGCTTCAAATAATTCTACTAAGAAATTACTCCCCTGAGCCGTATAAAATACTCTCAGAGGTGTGACACTACAACCACAGATCAACATTCTAGAAATATTATTTACTGCTTAGGTGGTCACCGAGAAAATCCGTACGTTCAAAATGTTCACTATAAAAGGCGGAAACGCAAAGCTCAGTAGTAGTTATTAGACAGTTTTAGTGGACCGTACGCTATAGCTTTGCGTACGCACGGAGATTGCGGGTCGTGAGTGCGCATGCGTAGAACGCAATAGAAGGGCTAACGTATTGCGTACGCACGCAACGCTGTTGATTTTGCGTTGCTGGCTAGCCGGCCTTGCGGGACGCTCTCGAGAGATCTCGGACCCAACGAGAGCGCCAGTTTCAAGATGGCGGTTGCCTTGACTGGCGCAGCAAGGGCGACGTGGTGCTTTCGAAGTTCTGTTTTACGTGAAATTGCGTGGTGTTCAGCTCGGCGATTCTTTCTGGGACCTACCGCGGTCGAATCAGATCGCCCTGCAGCTGAAGGAGTGCACAGTGGAAATGTTCGCCGCTCGCAGTGTGCGTCGACGCTGCGATCTGCTCAACGCTAAGCCTATTCCCACAGTTCATCGCCGACGGACGGACTCTAAAAGAAATCGCCGAAGTTCTCGCTATGCACTGGACATCAGAGTCATGAATTTCATTCTGCGATAGCATTGATAAAAGGTGCCGTTCCCACGGGACGACTGACGGAGGCTCCGTGATCGATTTTGGCTACGCACTCATACTCGTAGCCTCTGTACCCCGCAGAAAAGCGCGCTTGACGAGGCAGCTGTGGCTTGGTTTAATCTGAAATAAAATGATTGGACACTTTTTCTTTTTCAATATTTCTTTCCAGGAGCATGGTTGCGCTATAAGCACGCGGAATTCATGTGCGATGTTCACTCGAAAACGTAACGCACAACTAAATTCGGTCTTAGCAGGTCATTTTAGAGTACGCTATACTATTGCGTATTGCGTACGTAAGATCCAGCAACGCTATACTAAAACTGTCTATTAAAGCCCTTTCATGTTTCAAAAGTAGCGCAAAGTGCGTCGATGCACAAGGCGCGTCCATCGTGCAGCTCTTGGGAAGAACATAGCGGCAAAGCACAGCACAAAGCTAGATTTCAGACGCCATGTTCTTCCCAGAAGTGGCGAGCGGCAGGTGTGTCGAGCATTTCAAGAACAATGAATAGCGCCACGATTCCCAGGATCGAAGTAACGCCCCTCTATCCTGTGAAAAGTGGCGCCAATCATTGTTGTGGAAATGCTCGATAGACATGCCGCGCGCCCCTTCTGGGAAGAATATGGCATCTGAAATCTAGCTCAGTGCTGCACTGTGCCGCCGTCATCTTCTCAAGGGTTGTACGTGGAACGTCCCTCGTGGATCGACGCAGCTTGCGCCACTTTTTAAACATGAAGGGGCTTTAGATATAGGGGCCTTAGTCAGAGCCGTTTGTGGAGAGAGTTTGGACATTCATTGGAAAGTATAGGAGAGAAATGAAGAGGCGCCATTGGCCGGAAATTGGGCTAGGACTCTTTCCGGCCATTGGCCGGAAAGTGTCTTATTGCGTCTTGACAAATTCGAATGTAGCCAACCAGAATCCTGAAATAATACCATGGCGGTGGTCGCGAGAAACAAGCTTAATAAGTGAGTCGTAGCAATACCATCTAGAGGACAAGGCCTGCACATTTCCCAGCGTTATCAGATTAGCTCCGCTATGGAACTGCTCATAACGCTGTATGCACGAGCAGTACCCTCCCCCCTCCCCTTTCACTCAACTCGACACGCCAGACGGCTGCTTTGGTAACTGCAGTATATTTTATGGGATTCGTACGTTTCGAAGCTCACCGTCTAGATGGTGTTCCACAGTACTCTATGGAACACACAGTTCGTAAACAAATATCTAGATGGAACTTCGAAAGACGGGAGGTGGACTAAAGTGAGTGAGGTGGGGTACCTCCTTCCGCGGGAGTTCCACAACTGAGGAAATCTCCAAACATGGGGCCAAAAAAAAAAGCTCTGGTTCCTTAAGCGCCACCTTAAGTACGCTCCACCTGAAACAAAATTAACTGCACACAAAACATTAATACGGCAAACTTTAGAATACGCTTCTGTTATCTGGGATCCTTTTAAAGTTACCAAAGAAGCAAATTAGAAAGGGTGCAGAAAATGTCTGCTAGGTTTGTACTGTCGAAGTATCGAAGAACCGAATCAGTAAATGAACTGCTTAAGCAGCTAAGTCTTCCCCTCCTTTCTGATCGCCGGAAAATAGCTCGTTTAAAATTCCTATTCCTGTTGAGAAATCACATGTTTCACCTTAATACAAGTAACTACATAACGCTCCGTGTATGTAGGCATCTAAGAAGTACTCATTCATGTCAAATAAATTTAGAGAAACCAAATAATGATACTTATAAGTATTCTTTCTTTCCTGAACTATATCAGAGTGGAATAACCTACCCGAAAAAATAGTATGAAGTGATACCCTAGCTTCTTTTGAAACATGCATTTCCAAATTGTATAAGCAGTACTAGCGAACCTGCTCCCTCTGGCACTGGATAATTTCAGTTAGATATTTTTGATACTTAAATGGATTGGGACTTCCGTGACTCCATAATTATTATCCGCTCATCTGTTCTTGTCTGTTTTTCTTTATTTGCCTTTGTTCGATGTTGTTTTTGCGCGTTCAGTGGCGCACGCTCTTGTAAGTTTTAGCACTGAGAAGATATTATACGTAAAAATGCTTTTGTTGTGTATTTAGTGGGATTTACCAAAATAGTTTACTCTTGACTTCCGTGGGTTGTAGTCTTCAAAAATGTGCCTTCATATGTACTACTTAGTGTTCTATTTTGTATACTGTTGCACTCCTGTAAGAGCCCCTACGGGCTAACACTATAAATAAATTAAAAAAGAAACAAAATAAAAATCTAGTAACGTTGTCATTTTCTTCTCTAAACGTCATCGCTACTAAATTTCCACAGCGACCCTAGGTAGCCCGGATGATCGACATTGTACTGCGACATCATCTGCTCCATCGCCTGCTTCAGTTATTATGCTCAGAATGTGCTCACATTAAAGGGGTCGTGAAACGCTTTTCCAACTTTTTCCTGTTTCGCTTTCCTCCTCAACTCATAAATCATGCATTCCACCAAACAGTTCAAGAAGACGGGAGGCCCCTCTCGCTCGGAACTTGGTTTGTGTACCCGGAGAGAGCCATTGTCCCCCTAGAAGATTAGCCCGTCGCTCAAAACTCAGACAAAAGCTTCTTTCCCTAGCCCGTTCAGCCCTAAGCTGACAGTGCTGTAAAAGCTTCGTGCTCCTTGGGCTAACCACACTTTTGCCACGTAAGCGTGGCAAATGTGGCTGCAGAGAATGAAGTCAGGTGATGAAACGAAGGTGGCCAATTGGTCCGGCAAGCGCGTAGCTTCCACCACAATGTCAGCTTAGGGGTGAAGGGTCTAAATGAGGTCCGGTTTTGTGTGACGTCAGTTTGGACCCGACGACACGCTTTTGGGGCCGCGGATGTATCCCAGTGAAAAGGCAGAGCGGTTACGAAGGGGAGGGGGAACGAAATAGTCGGCTGTGTTTTCAAATTTTCGCACTGAATTTCAGGCTTTTAACTTCCTACTTTTTTTCTTTTGGCCCACTGAACGATGTTCTATTAGTAAAGTCCCAATCTAAAATGATCTATCCCAACCCAAAAATCGTTTCATGGGCCCTTTAAGAGACTGCTAGGACCGGCAATCTTAATGGTGTCGCATGCACGTTGCAAATTAACTGTCGAACCTCGCTATCAGCTCGCGCCAACACTCTGGCTCAGCAGTTGTGGCTGCACGTGGCTCATGCCCTCCTCATGTTTCAGCCTATTTGCCACTTGGGGCAGGTTGGGGATCTACTAACGAAACGTGTTGCGCAGGCCTTGGTTTCTAGGTGGTGTAGGTTAGAGTAACTCTTGGTGAATGAAAATATGGTGCACGTGATGTTTGAATCACGGCCATACAAAATCATGCTGGAAGAGCGCAATTACCGGAATGATCGACATAATCAAGGTGCCGAGGTGTCCGGAATCTGCCGTCCGAGCAGCCACACCCTTTTCGAACAAAACAGAGTTCGAGCGGCACATTCGCTTCTTACATCTTTCTGCGTGATTATGATCGAAACACCACGCAAACCTTATTTTGAACTACGAAGGGTTACAACATTCAGGTCTTACCCGCTTATTAAAACGATTAAAACTGTTTTACGCTACCACCACTGGGGGATTCTTTTCGGCTTCTGATTGGCGAAGAGAGTATGTCAAGCCCTCCTCCTGTGTCCGGTGCACGCGCTCGCTCTGCCCGCGCCTCCCATCGACCAAACTTTCTGTATACACGGCTCTGGCTTTAGCAGTTAGCGGGTGTGCTGTTGTATTCATGTTTGTTGTACCGTGTAGGCGTATATGCGCTCAATGAATATGTTCAGCTGATGCTTGTGGCAATGCATTTATATGTGTCTATAATAAAGGTGCCCGAAAGGCCCGAAGTGTAATGGTGGCGTCAGCAAATAAAAACATTTTTGTAGCATATGAACTGGGCGGTTCCTTGCTTCACCTATCCTAGCTGAAACTAATATGAAACATCAAAAACCTAATATGCGAAATGTGAAACTGATTCGAAATACTCAATAAGCTCTGATATAAAAAGCTGTCCAATCAACATATCAGAAATGAACTTATAACAATTTCATCAGTAGCGATGAGACTGCACGCAATTCCACAAGCAAGGAAGATCGAGGTCGCTGCTTTGAAGTGTTCTTCCGCAGAACGAGCGCTCGGGCTAAAAATGCTTGCCTCAAATCCAGGAACGCGGGCAATCTCGCGCGTGTAGGTTCTACTCACGATGTAAAAGTATTATCTTACACCATGGATCGACTGCAGTCTCAGCCTAAGTGTGAACCAACGTTACTAGAGCCACTCAGTTGGGAAACTACTATAGAGCCTGCTGTGAAAAAGTGGCCCCGATCCGTACTCGAGAACCGAGCTAGTGGCAATCGCATCGCCGCCATTTCTTCCGCAGCGGCCACTCGGGGAACTGCGCGTGACTTCTATTTTGACTCAATAAAGCTGTGCTACCTACCTACTTACTTGGCTTCAATCGGCCATTTTGGCGCCGAAACATACACGATGGAAGTGGTTTTAGGGGTGCTACCCCCATCTCCCAAGCGGACGCGCCGCGAATTCCTACCGAAGTTACGATGCGCACAGGTCGGGAGGCGCTACTTGAAATCACCGGTGAGACATGGTTGTATAAAAACAATATTAATAGACCTATTGCTATATTACCCAAGCATCAAGACGAATGCAAGGATTGGTGTTTTACGCGCCAAACGCGCACGCCTTCCCCGTATAAAAGATTCGAAGTAAATAACGAAAATAAAGCGTTGACGAACGCTCGTGCAATATGCAATTTGTTTTAGGTATTTACTTTAGAAAAGTTATTACAGCTGAGGCCAGCACGTGCGGCGCGTGGAACACCAATCCCTGCATTTTCCTTGATGCTTGGGTAATATAGCAATTGGTGTATTGTGCCGCAAAACCTTGCAAATTTAAGATTTTAGAAAATGTCACGCTCCCGTCATTTTGTACTAAACTCCAAACAAAGTTAATAGAAAAGGTTTTTTCCGCTTGTTTCTACGCAAAAACATGATTTATAAAAGCTCAAAGTGACTGTATCAGTCGTGATGTGTCAAGCCAACAACAACGTTTATTCAGGAAGCGATTAGTTATATAGTACGACGCGGCTGCGCGGCAGCGCAGCACGTGTCAACAGTTTATCTGTTAACGAGATATGACATCGCGGTTTACATGCAGCGCGTGCGTGACTTGCACGATACATTTTCCTTTGTTTCATAAATAACATTAGGAGTTCCAATGGTAGATGGGATGCACTTGGTTGAAATTGCTGTCGTATTGCAGGCGCTCTGGTTGACGGGTGTGCCTTGTGGATCGTCGTGGGACCGGCGTCAGGGGGTGGTCCTGCAAACCCGGCGTAGGCGGTCTTGTGGGCAAGGAGGCCGGTTTCAGCATGCCGTCAATGTCACCCTTGCCGTTCATGTAACAAATGACTGACTGCAGGTCTGCATCCTTCGCGGTCGCCTCAGCAAGGCGATCCAGGGTTTTCTTGCTTACCAAGTCTGAGACGACGCTCACTGCGTGGACTTCCACGTCTTCCGTAGAGCCAGCGGTGTCCTTTGTGGTAACTGGTGACGACCTTGATAGCATGTCGGCCAGCAGTAGCAGTTTTCCTGGTACGAATTGAAGGGTATAATCGTACATCAGTAACCGCAGAAAGAAACGCTGAAGTCTCGGGGGCATATCACCGATTCCTTTTGAGGCAATTGCTAACAGTGGACGGTGGTCAGTTTCAATAGTGATCTTACGCCCGTACACGAAGTGATGAAACTTCTCGCAGCCGAACGTGATACCCATCGTTTCCTTTTCTATTTGCGAGTACCTCTGTTCTGCGTCAGTCATAACGCGTGATGCGTAGGCGACCGGCCGCCAGCTGTCACCATGACGCTGCAGAAGTGCAGACCCTAATCCATTCCTTGACGCATCTGACGAGATCTTCGTATCTCTGGCTGGATCAAAGATCGCCAACACGGGCGTGCTGGTAAGCATTAGGCAGATATCTTTCCATTCTTTGGCGTGGTTGTCTGTCCATTCAAAAACTGTTTCTTTTTTTATAAGACTGCGCAGAAGTTCTTTTTTTCCTGCCAAATTCGGTAGGTACTTCCCAAAGTAATTTGCGACTCCAAGCATTCTATGCACTGCTGTCTTTTCTGTAGGGCACGACATCTCCCCCAGTGACGTGATCAATGCCGAGCTCGGCCTTATTCCTTCTTGGCTGATGACGTCACCGAGAAATTCGATCTCAGTTAGCTTAAACTTGCATTTTGCGGCGTTGAATGTCAAACCCGCCCGACTGGCTAACTGCAGTGCGTTCTTGAGGCGTGAATCGTGCTCTTCTTTAGTGGATCCCCAAATCAAAATGTCGTCAATGTATACGCGCACCCCTGGGGACGGATCAAATATCTCGCTTAGAGTTTTTGGAACACCTCGGGTGCCGACGCAATCCCGAATGGAAGTCTCAAAAACAGGTAGCGACCAAAAGGCGTACCGAACGTGCAAATTGCCGAGGTATCCTCATCCAAGGGAATTTGGTGAAACCCAGAGTTCGCGTCGAGGCGTCAAAAATATTTAGCTCCTGCTAGTTCGGCCTCAATGTCTTCCCGCTTAGGCCTCTGATAGTGCTCGCGCTTTAGACACTCGTTAATGCGCCTGGGGTCCATACACACGCGTAGTTTTCCGTCTTTTTTTCGTACAATGACCAATGGACTTACCCAGTCCGTTGGCCCATTGACTTTGCGGATGATGTCAGCTCGTTCCATACGCTCCAGCTCCTCTCGAAGAGGCTCTCGCAGCGCCAGAGGTACTCGTCGTGCCGGTTGAACTACCGGTGTTGCGTCATCTCGCAGGACCATCCGATACTGACGTGCCAGGCAGCCGGTACCCTGAAATAGCTGGTGAAATTCTGTCACTATTTTCTCGGTATTGCTGGTGTTCACAACACTCACCGAGCGCGACACAAGTCCCAGCGCCTCACTTGCTAGCAGTCCGAGTAGTGCCTGGCTGCCTTTTTTGACAATGAAGAAGTCGATGTCGCCGGACCGATTGTCCATTACCACTCGTAGAGTTGCAACCCCGATGTGCTTGATGGCGTCCCCGCTGTATGATCGAAGCACAGAGCCGCTTGGTTTCAAGTTCGCCTTGTTCCTGCACCTCCGATAGATCGAATAAGGCAGCAGGTTAGCTTGGGAGCCCGTGTCCACCTTCAAGACGACTGGCTGGTCCGCCACCATTGCGTGGATGATCCAGTCCGCATGGTTGCCGACGCTGTCTATCTTCAGGTCGAGGATGTCGAAGGTCTCGTGGTCTTCGCGTACTTCCTTCACTTGCGGCCCTTTCTTGCAGCAAGCCGCAAAATGGTTAGTACCTCTGCACAAGAAGCATGACCTTCCAAATGCCGGACACCGTCCTGGCTCGTGCGGCCGGTTGCACTTGGCACATTTGTACTGTTGCTTCTTTTTCACCAGCGCCACTTGTTTTTCCGCCTGCGCCCACACTTCGTTCTGCTGGGCGGATACTTCCGCTGCTTTACAGATCTGTTCAGCCTTGAGCAGCGTTAGATCTTTTTCTTTGAGCATTTTCTCTCTCAACTTTGAATTGTTTGTACCGAACACAATCTGATCCCGAATCATTGTGTCGGTCAACTGCGCGAAGTTACAGCCGCGTGCTTCTTTCCTCAATTCACTCAAAAAATGCTCGAAAGGTTCTGCTTCAACTTGCGTTCTTGTTCGAAAGATGTACCTCTCGTAGACCTCATTCTGCTGTTGTCTACAGTACTCCTCAAACTTGAGTGCGACCGTCGCGTAATCTTCCTTATTCTCGCTTTCGGCAAACACAAAATTGTTGAATACCTCCAAAGCGTCATCCCCGGCTACACTCAGCAGGAGAGCGGTCTTGACCGATGCCGACCTTGGTTCTTTGGCTGGCTCCGTTGCCCTCAGAAAGAGCTCGAATTTCTGCTTGAACAGGTCCCAGTTTTTTGCGATGTTCCCAGACAGCAGCAGTGGCTCCGGTGGCTTGAGTAGTTCCATAGCTATGGTGACTGACGTCGTTACTTTGAGCTACCGCCGACGTGGACGGCATCCCACTTCTGACACCATGTATCAGTCGTGATGTGTCAAGCCAACAACAACGTTTATTCAGGAAGCGATTAGTTATATAGTACGACGCGGCTGCGCGGCAGCGCAGCACGTGTCAACAGTTTATCTGTTAACGAGATGTGACATCGCGGTTTACATGCAGCGCGTGCGTGACTTGCACGATACAGTGACCACAGCACAGACAACTGAGAAAGAGTGGCGCTGTTGTCGTATTTAGCTCGGCCTCGGTGGACGCCAGCGGCCCAGGTTTCAACGGCGAGTTTCCCAACTGAATGTTCTAGTAACGTTGGGGTAAACAGATTACAAACTATTCTAAAAACAGGCTTCTGGTCTGTGAAACTTTCAGAACTGGTGCGTATGGCGAAGGTTTCGGTCGCTTTCTGGGGTATATGACCATGCGCGTTCTGAGCTGCGATGCTTCCACGCTGGACTCTGAGTTTGTAAACATTGAAACGGTGTATGCACGATGCTAATATTTACAAGTACTCAGCCTAGCGTTTGATTTCCTCAGCCCGGCATGCGCACGTTCGTCGATTCGCAACCCAAGCAGATCACGCGCCATTCGCGAGAGCACTCAAGAAGCAACCCGCCAGGAGCCCTTTTTTGGAAAGGTATATAACCCTAGGGGGGTGTTCATTGGACGCCATGTTTGAGGGCCATGTTTAGAGCGCATGCTTAAAACGAGATCACAATATTAGGATGCTGAGACAAGCAGTCTTGATGATGCGGAATGAACCTTGCAAAAAAACTGTGGAAGCTCGCCGTCAGCGCGAGCTCAGCTGTCGTGAGCTCAGCTACGGCCGCCAGTGAATGCTTCATATAGACCTTTTCAATGTTTACAAAATCACAGTACAGGTGCGACCTTCACAAATCAGCACGTGAGTCTCCACCGCTTCGGAAAGCAAGCAAAGCACGCGCTTTACGCGCGAAAACTCAAAATGGCGCCGACCACACACTTTTGTTTGAAAAGGTCTAAAGGAAATATTTACTGGACGCGATATTCGAGGGCGCTGTTTAGAGCGCATGCTCAGAACGATCTTAAAATATTAGGCTGCGAGGATGGGCCATCTTGATGGTGTGGAACGCACGTTGTAATAGAACTGTAGAAGCTCTCCATCAGATCACGCTCAGCAATCGCGCACACAGCTATGGCCGCCAGTAAAAACTTCATATCACTATGTTTGAAAATCAGCGCGTATGTTTTGCCTTGCCGATTCAAGAGCTTGTCTATGGTGAACATTGAGGGCAGATAGTCGGCCCTAGGTCAAGTGACCGCTTGTTCCGAAAGTGATTGAAGAGTGTGAATCATTGCGCCTTTAACCCTCGATTTTTGTCTGAGACTATAGGAGGTATTCACTGGACGCCATATTTGAGGGCGATGTGTAGAGCGCATGCTCAGAACGAGCTCACATGAATAGCCTCCTAAGACCGGCGACCTTGGTGGTGCCAAATGCACGCTCCAAAAGGACTGCGGAAGCTCGCCGTCAGCACGCGCTCAACAGCAGCGCGCACGGATATGGCCGCAAGTGAATACTCCGTATACTCCGTTTCACCTTATGTTGTACCACAGCGAAGGCTAGAAGCGCGAGCTTATAGCCTTGGCAGCTGGCCTTGGTGCACGACAGTTTGTGCAGCCGATATGTGCCCGAGAGCAAGGAGCTCGCGCTTGTAGCCTTTTCTGCGGTACAACACAATGTGAAACAGAGCATACCATTGAGCAAACATAAAAACTAATGCTTGTTCTGTATGTTATGAAAGCGAAACATTAATGATACACTATATTAAAAAAAAGTTAGTAGTATTTACTAGGTCAAAGCTAGTAACTACCCTAGGTTGTAACGGTCAAGCTAGTAAAGTCACTAAGTTAATGAGCTGGTAACGGTTACTAATCAACCTAGTATATTTCACTACTTTCAGCTAGTAACTGGCACCGACTCTCACAGCACCCAGGTAGCGCTACTTAACGTCATATTCAAGATTGGCAAATTATTATCGCAATATAGAATTGTTTGTTTTTTTCACGCTGCTTACGAGCACATTTGCAAAAGCATTATACATTTAACTCAGACAAGCAATTGAAACTCAGATGACACACACGCACAACACAGACGCGACAACAAGCTAAACCGATAGCTGCTGCCAAAGGCTAGCTATGCGTCTTTTATACAGATTATTCAAAAGAAGTCGTCTGGTCAGTAACCGCTTTGTCCGTGAACGATGCTACACATGTAGTGCTGCCTTCGCAGCAATATTTTTTTCCAAAATTGTTTTTAAACATTTCAGGGAATGTATCCCTTACTAAGAAGTAAGTGTACACAAAATAATAATGATTTGCGACTCTATAAAACAGCATACCCATAGGTTCCCAGCAGTCATGTTCTCGTTTGAGGTAATAAATAGATAGTAAAAAGGAAGTAATGGTCGGGAAAAGGTAGTAACTGCTGCACTTACCAACGTTTTACGAGCTATTGCGAGATTGATGTAGTAACTTGTAGTAAAAAGCTAGTAATTATCAGAAAAAAGGTAGTCACTGCTGAAATTCCTAGCTTCTTTTATAAGAATGCATGTCGTATTTACTGAAAGCACAGAAAGCTTTGCACCGTCGCCTGTGTGTGTCTTCTTCCGTGTGTCCGTTGCTTTGGCGCCTTACGCCATGTTTTCTAACGTTCCCGAACTAGCCCAATTAGAAGCACTTCTACAATACAAGGACTTCTGGGACATCTAACATTTTAGAGCCACACGCCGCGTGTTTTCTAACCTTAACGTCTTAGTTTTTCTAAAATTTCCTCGGTCACTGAGAGGTTGAGAAACTAGGGACGTAGCTTTTTAGGAGCAAGTTTCTTGCTTCGCACGTCGTTCGTCAGCGCTTTTATGGACTCCGCAAACTCATTAACTGCGGAGAGATAATAACCTTCTCAGGAACTTGAGGCGCCCAACGTTTCTTAAACTGTCAGTACCTAGAATCACGAAAGACGCGATCGCCACGCTTGGGTATCCGCGTGCACCGCGTAAAAATGGAACTCCACGCATCTTTTAAAGATTCTTTCTGGGTCCTCAAGGCGTAGCGGTTGCAGGCTGCGACCACAAAAAATTGACGTCTTTGAAGTCATTCGTTCATTCCAGTCCACTGAAAGTATTCGTTGAGTCACCGTACCGTGAGGGCGAAGTCGACACTCAGATTGGGCCTAAACCGGACCAGATTGAAGCTCAGGGCTATCGCTCCCTTGAAGTTCACCCAGACGAGGACCAGGCAGTGTTTCCAAGTGAGGTCGTAGCCCGTCGAGCAGAGGACCGGGTACAGCACCAGAGTGACCACGGCCCTGCACGTGTGCACGGTCCGCCAGCGTCGAAAACCGAGTCAATGAGTCGCCGCCGTTTCTAGAGCATATATCGGCGGCCGAGTGGGTCTCCTCACTCCAACTCTCGGAGTACGTCTAGGTGAAAGCTCGCGCTGCAGAAGCCAGGGATGTTTTGATATTTACGGTTGTCGTACTCGCATATATAAGGCCGCGCGTAACTATATTCTACCTTGTGCGAACCATGACAAAAACGCCAGGCTAGCAGTCGTATTGCACCGTCTTTATTTTTCACTTACAGCGGAGATGCTTAATGCCCTCTTGGGCGGACGAACCGCCCGCCGTCTAAATGTAAACATGATATATATATATAGGTTGGTTGCACTATCTCTCCACGGGGCGCGGTGCCGCCGGGGCTGAGATGCGCTCTGATAGCAGACCGAAACTTTAAAACCCGTCGATTTTGTGCAGTTTTTCAGAAAGCGGTAAAATGCATCGCGTGCCTTCTATCGTTCTGCATTTTGATGATTTAGTACTTTTCGACGATGCTGACCAATTTTGTAATTTAAACTATGCCCTTAAACACAATATTAAAAAAGTTAATTGTGCAAAAATAATTAACAACTTAATTATCCCGGACTTTAATAATTTTCCCAAATAGGCCCCTGGCTCAGGACCAAAACGCCACAAGCCTTTTTTTCGTTGAGATGAGTAGTTTTCGCAGGAGCGATTTGGCTTGCGTTTTCTGAAACACCCTGTATATATATATATACAACAGGGGCACTTCACACCATCGTACGTGGTCTCCGAGGAGGATATGAGCAAATATGTGCAGATAAATGAACCGTACTTAATCCAATGAATCAAAGAATCAGAGTTTCCAGGAAACCGCCGAAAACCAAAAATTGGCTCCGCCAATTTTTGGCTTTTGGCGGGTTCCTGGAAGCTTTGATTCTTTGATTCATTGGATTAAGTACGGTTCATTCATCTGCACATATTTGTTCATATATATATATATATAAATAAACAGAAAACCAGCGCGCAAGCAGTAAGACTTCGGGCCCGACATGTACAACGCGCATTTTCATTCCCGCAAGAAAAATACATCATCTGGCTTAGAAATTCTGTCAAGCGCTACGAAGTTGCGGTAGCACTTTAAGGGCATATACTTTTTTTTAGCAAGAAGCACTCACTACTGGAGTGACAAGCAGCGTTATACGTAGCGAAGAAATTGTAAATGTATGAAGGACTTCTTCTGCATCCATGCAGTTCTTCTTTGGGGGGATTTGATAATTTGTTTTAAGAAATGGCGCCGCGCGTACACGTTGACCATAAAGTTTTTCCGCGCCTTCTAGATCATTTGAAAAACACGCAGCTCCTACCCTGTTGCGCGGTTCTCATTCAGACGCTTCGGAAAGAAAGGAAAAAGATGGTAGTGTTATAGTACCACTGACACCCCCCTCCCCTCACACACACACGAACACTCCGCGCGACGCTACGCCATTGGCCGGAGCGCTTTGACTACAAACCAACACCTGCGCTTTTTTTGCTAACTCTCCCCCCCAAGACCTTGCTGCGGTGCGACCAACACCAGCAACTAAGGCCCGTGAGGGCCCCCGAATAAAACTATCACTTCAAAACCTGCTAGCCAATCAATCATCCATTCAGTCAATCAATCACGCAATCT